TTTCTTTGACAGGCTGGTGTGCAGAGTGAGAACATGTTGGGAAACCCATATTGTACACTACATGTACTAGTGTAGTGTAGTGTGCCATTGCCATTGCATTTTTAAGTGGATATATAACCCAAGCTGGGGTTATATATATCTGATATTCAGTAACCAACACGTATCCAGAACAAGTCTACTGGAGTTAATTTTGACTAAAATCACTATTTGGCCCATAAACCTGGCATGACAGTTGAGTGGGGGTATTTGGTTTCACTTTCAGTAATTGTTTATTTTGAACCCAAGAGGCAGTTTTGGTGCATATGTAAAATTTAAGGGCTATATCCTTGACAGCTGTTGATGGTTAAAATTGTAAGAGTGATCTGTTGTCAGCTCAAGTGTTTAAACCAGTAGCATTCAATACCGGTATTACAGTATGCCAGAAATGGTTTCTGCATGGCTGACCTTGCCTTCAGGCAGAGAGATGGTCTAGATGTCTTCTCAACATCAATTCCAGACCATTTATTCATGTTCCACTGCCTTCTTGTCCTTCCTGCAATGGTAGAAATGTGTATTTGCTGCTACTTCTTAATAGGAGTACAGGTGTTTTTCAAGAAGTTCTGATCTGGTGTTCTGTGCAATGAAAAGAGTAGAACTAGAGATACCTGTAACAGAAGTAATAATGTCCCTGACTATTCTATCTTTGCTTACGGATGTGGGATGTCCTCCAGTAATATAAGCTTCCCATCACTGGATTCTGAAACTGGTATTTTAAGTTTTGAGTAATGTGATCTCAGTATTAATCCTCGGACCTGAAAACCACGCCCTTTTCAGGTACCACGGGCTGGACACTCAGAAAATTATTGAATAATTTTGTGTCACAGGTAAATTGATGTGTTTTGAAATGCATGTTATTTTTTAAAACTGATTTAGAGCTGAAGTGAGGAAAAAGTGAGTTAATGTTTTGATGAACTCCGAAGCAGTTGTTGCCCTGATGTGTACTGTGGCTGAGGATGATGATACATGGATTGACTGTGATATGTCTGAAATTTTTGGTTTGCATTAGGCAGAAGACTGGTATATGTAAGAGTTCTGTTGGGCATGGTACAATTTAAAATCCAGTGTGTTCTCAGTTGTTGACTAGTGAACCTTGTAAGACTACTTCATCAGGTTTTCTGCACGTGATATGCTCTAATGTAAGCTCCTCACTGTTGTGGCTGAGGAGAGTGATGAGCAGGAGGAGGAAGTGGTACATGAGCCTTTAAGCCACTCTCTTTTGAGATCTTGGTTTTCAGCTTTGCCCGAGCTCCTGGGCAGTTTCAGGGGAAAGCAGCAGGTTGTTGAGGCAGGCTTTGGATACTGAGGCAGGGTATAACTTTTGGTGTGGCTCATGTACAGTTAGAATTATCTATGGAACACTTTGGAAAGCTCTCCGCTGCAGCAACCAGTGTCAGATTTTCAAAGGCTGTGTTAGCCAGTCCATCTTTCACAATCTGTTCTTACAATGTGCTCAGAGTCTTGACAGTGAATTTGTGTGGTGACCTGCCTGCTTTCACTTCGTTAGTTCAAGAGGACCTTAGCTTTACTGAAATTCCAGGTCCTGGATATAAACATCTTTCCGAAGGTCCTCATTTGAGCTCTAAGTGTAATACCAAGGATATCTCTTATTATTCTGGGGTTTAAAAAACTGAAAGTGAACAGGCAGAGGAAATAACTGGAGACAACAGTGAATTAATATATGTATCCAAATATAAAGATAAAAGTTACTTAAAGAAATAACTAGTGGTAGACTAACATTTGTAGCAAAAATGTTAATAACACAAACCCTAATTTTTTTCTTTTTTTATATTTTCTAGTAGAAGGTAAAGAATATCTGATAGGTACTTGTGTGTTCATACAAATATGTACATATATATATGCAAAATGCACCCTCTCTATTTTCTTCAAGTGTTTAAAATGTCAACTGAGTCAGCAGAGACTGAAAGAATATGATTAATATACTGTGGCAATATGTACCCTGTAGATAAGATAATGTTCCTAATGCACTAAACTCTTACAGAATTCCTTACAGAATCCCAAATTTATACATGTTGGCCCCAAAACTAGTTGGAAGGACAAAGTGTCCCACCTCCCCTCCTCAGCGAACCTGTGGTAATTTATTTATATTTTGTTCCCATAACTGAGGCATGTTTGTGTTCACTTTTGAAGAAACCAGACATCTTGCAGAATTTTTGAGAGAATTTGTGAGTGATCGCACTTAGTACCTCTGTTTTCAATGTGGAGCTAACAGATACTGTAATGATTCTATGTATTCCAGAGGGTTTTTTTGGAAGGAGAGTTTACACGAAGTGTACACCTGTCCAGCAGCCAGTGCTCAGACATGGTGTGCACTCGGGGGTGCAGCAGCCAGCCTGCATCTTTGATAGTTAAGATGCAACATGGACACTTTGTCCTGAAGTTGTGATAGATTGCAGCAAAATGAACTCTGATCCTTGGATACCTCACTCAGTTACGTGGATGTTTGATATTTGTGTGATATTTAAGTCCCTTGATGGCCATTACTGGTTACTCTAAAACACTCCATGGCTGATAAAAGAGGCATTAATGCAGCAGAGTCCAAGATTAGGGGAGGATAAGCAGCATAAACAAGCAGTTGTTTTCTAAATATTATCCCAATAAGCTTTTGAATTTGGTCCAAGAAGCCTGCTAATGAAGACAGTAGCTTGCAGCACTTTAGAATTAAGCAATATTAAAAATCAAATTGAATCAATTAAAAGCCTTCAGTAAACACAATAACCTACTGTAGAGTTAATATATTTTTTAGGAAAGTGACTGCATTCAACATACCTAAAATGTAATGCTGAAGAAAGTTTCAGTTCTTTTCAAAGTTTCAAGTATGGTCAGACCTAGTTGTTCAGGTATTTAGCAGGAGATAGAAGAGGTCTCTCCTCTGTTATTTTGAGTGATGCTTTGTGTAATGGATTTGTCAAAGATGACGTGGTAATTACAAGACGAGGCAAAGAAGAAAGGAGCAGGAGAACCAATCTGTGCCAATACCACAAGGAAACACATAAAAACCCGGTAACTGTACAACATGGCTGTTGTGACTGTATGCTCTGCTAAAATATGCTAGTAATTAGTCTTCTTGTTCCTAGAAAACTGTATCAGGGTTATTTTTAGTACCATCTACTTGTTTAAAAGAAGAAATTCTGATGACGGTAACTGAAAATGCACAATAAAAGCTCACATTTACTGCAAAATGTTTCTACTGATTCCTTTTCACTATCCCTCTGAGGGAAGTAAGATTCCTTAGCTCTAATAGTTTGAGATAAATGACATGCAAAGTCTTGTACACCCTCAAAAGCTTTACTCCCATCACACTCACCGCAGATCCTATAAAGGCTCTTTTCCCCAGCGGTGTTACTTCTACTCAGGGAAGAGAACAAGCCCTTAAAAAAAAAAAAAAAGAAAATAAAAGTCAGTGGATCTAGGCAAACATTAGGGAGTTTGCCACTCCAGACCTGCTGATAATAACTGTCTGTGTATGGCTGCAGAAACATTCTTTCCTGTAACACTCGATATTCACAGCAGCACTTAAACCTCTGCGTCCTTCTCCAGTGATCTGTTATAACCCCCTTCTTTCTTTTTTCTGTTTTTGGGTTTTTATTTTCCATAAAATGTGTTCTTAGGATTTCAGTAGCATTCAAAGTAATTATATGGCAAAACTTTTGGCATCTCTGCATTGTGGCATCCTGGGACAGGTCTGCAAACCTCACTGTGTGTTTATCCGTTAATTATGTTGCGATCTGTCACTCTTATCAAAAGGAACAGGATGAGAGCATGCCTGTTAACCAAACAAAAGAACACTATCAAACAAAACAGTTCTCTGAGAAGAAATGCATTTGGCAATCCAGAGGAAAACATGGAATTCATAGTAAACAGAGCACACATTTCTCAGCAATAAATTAGCCTAAACGTACATAGGCTATTCACATTCCACTTTGTGTTATTATAGCTGTGCAAACTATTATGCAGAAAAAGACAACAGAATCTTGCTGCAGACTGAACCAAATAAATCATTTACTTTGGCTGCTTGTGGATAAATATTGCTAGTTTTTCCCAATGCATTTTCAGAGTTTATAACTAAAAGGTAGACTTTTGTTGGTTTGTTTCTTCATTTGTTATTACTGGAATTGGTAGTTTATTGTCACAGAAAAATACCTTGAGCACCTCGTAGTCCAGAGGCCACAGTGATGAATGAGAATCTAGGAGTCTTGGGATCTTTTTAATCATACATCTGCTGTTTGACTTCAGTAAGTCTCTTCTATTTTCTGCACTGTGCCTGGTTTTGCTAATTAAGGAGAGTGAGGCTGTCTTCTGTGAGGTGTTAATGTACTACTCATCTTGGTTGTGACCTTAGTGCAGTAAAAAACCCCACTACTCAATTAAACAGTCCATTTACTAGTTCAGTAAAGTAGAGGATGACCAGCTAATGCTGTTTTTTCTTGTCATTATCGTGCTGTAAAACTTGGCAGCCCATTGTTCTGATTAGTTAGATGCTTAAGGTAAGGCTTATAAGACTGAAGTCTAAGTTGTAATTTTGACTTGCAGATTCTTGGACCATCCTGGCTTCTGTTGTTTAGAAGTTTATCATTCTAGTGACTTATGACATATATAAGGTAAATATTTGAATGTATCTCCACCGTAAAAAAAAGCATGCAGGGAAGGAAAATGGGAAATCAGACAGGAGAACATCATTTTACAATTTGTGACTTGAGACAGAAAGCCCACAGACCCTAGCTAGTGTAATAATTGAGTAAAAATGTTGAGAAAATAGTCTTATATTGTGTCTTTTCATGCTGCATCTCTGTAAAAATATCATCATTATTACAGTAATCATAAAAATAAATGCAGTGTTGCCACTGTTTAGTAAACTTCACTATCTGCAAGACCTAGGCAATACCACAAATTTCGTCTGAGGTAGCATTCTTTGCACAGTGAATACAAGCAATTCCATTAAGGCTGAAGATGAGCTACTGTGAACTCCATTTTAAAATATAGATTACAGTTTATGCTAAATCCTTCTGGTTTTGCACTTTATTGTTTTCCATTTGTCAGAATCTGATAGACGCAGAAAACCCTATGAAACTTCCTGCTTCAAGAATTCTTGATGGAATTGTTCCAGTTCTGCCTGTGCAGTTCAAATACATTTATTTTCTAGCTGATTATAAGACCAGACCACAAAGAGCTGAGCCAAGCTTAGCAGAAAGCAAACTTAGGGCTGTGTCCTACCTGGCCAGTGACTGGGTATCAAACTGTGCAAAAGGAAGAGAGAAATACTTTCTTACAGACTTAGGTCAGAGTTCTAATGTATTTGTTAGTGTGTGATTTCTGCATTGGGTAGACTCTGCAAAGATACATTAGGATCTAGGGGTGTCCTTGGAACATGCACAGCAGCTTGCCAGGGGAGCTGATTGGTATAAGTGACCCCAGTTTGAATCCATCGAGGACTAGCTCCATGAAGAGATTTAAATGACTGACGTGGAGTTCAAGGTACACATATCCCAAACTATGGAAGGCATAGAGAGCACACTGGCAGTAAAACTGCCATTTTTTCCCCTTCATAGAATGGTAGAGGCTGGAAATAAGGACATTTAATAACAAAGCAATTTTTAGGTGCCAGAGATCTACTCGATGCCTGAGTTTTAACTATTGATGCTGCGTGTCCTGTGCAGCCAGTGCTGGTTGGTGTGTGATGTGAAGCTCTTTAGGAAGGTACTGCCTCCCACCATTTCCAACTTAGGAAACTTTCTGGATCCTTTCCAGGATACAACTCAGCTATATGTTCAAGTAAGTGTTGGAGCTTCCATCTGTTTTCTGATTCCATTATAGTACCATACTCTTAATTTTTCAGTGATCTATGAATTTTTTTTCTTTTGATACCTGGATCTGCTATGCATTCTGAATTCATTTGGATGTTAAAATACAGCAGAGAAAATTGTGGTGACAAAGCAAACAAGTTAAAAGTTTATTTTGGCATGAAATGGTAAGACTATTATCTTTGATGGACTAGGTGAAAGCAAGCCTGGACCTAAGCTTCATGATCATGAAGGATCTCACCTTTATCAGTGGAAAAATGGTAATTCTAGTTTAGACAACTAGAACAACTATTTCTAGTTGAAGTGAATGCAATGAAAAAATGATCACCCTGCTGTCTGTTTGGGGCAATATGATAAAGCACAGTTGGTCTGATATGCCCTCCAACATTCTCAGGTGCCTTTTCACAACCTCCTTTGGAGGGGTTTATGCCTGTGGTGGGAGATCTGACTGAACATCTGTAAAACAGATGAAGGTGAGTCTCGGCTCTTACTGTTTTTTTCCTGCTGTGAGGCAAAATTTGTAGTTCATGCAGCCAAAATTGACTTCCACTTTCAAATTTTTTTTTTCCATATGTGCAAAGACTGTGATTCTGGATAGAACAGTGAAGAATTATTCCCTTCTCCCTGTTCCCCTCCTTCCCTTATAAATGGCAGGCAATATTCCACATGTGTCTGTTAACCACTGTCTCTTTCTGAACCGCAGGTTGGCATGGGAGACCAGAGATTATCGAACTGTGAATTGCACACAGTTATCATCTTTTTTTATCTTTCAAAATATCACAGCCAGGAAACTTTAAGGATTCTCATGTACTTCCTCAGTACTGATGCACTTTGAATTGTTACAGCACATTTTGAATCATCTCCGTGGAAGATGAGGAGGCAGATAAAGCCCTTTACTGCAGAAGGCAGTTTGCTGGAGCGTCTTTATGGATATAATTTTCAGAGGTGAGCATGCTCCATTTCTTCCTTTATTCTTTGTTCTTGAACTGCAATGGATTCACCACGTTTCTAGAGAAGGCCCAGCTGAGTTTCTCTTTGATGTTCAGCCAGACAGCCTTTATCTGTGAGTTTTAAAAACTGGCAAAACAGAGCTGATGCTCCAAATGCCGCTCAGGGCCTTTTGTTTTATCTCCTTACCTTTTTATTATTGTCAACTGTACTGGGGAACCAGGAAGAGCAAGAACCCCATCTTGATACCAATTATGCTGGCTCTTAGCAAAGCAAAGGAAAAAACCACAGAACTTCAAATGAAGCAAAATGTTCTCTAGCTGAAGAATGAGTGGGCAGTCTTAGTCGCTCAGAACATGTGAGCTGTGCTCTTACAGCTTCTCTGTGCCTCTATTTCTGTGATGGTTTTGATTAGCAGGTACTAATACTTTCCTGCCCACAGGAGGAATATGAAGATTATTCAGTGTTTCTGAAAAGCTTTGAAGATTAACAAAGATGCCCCTGCAGAGCTGTCTGTGATTTCAGCAGGGCTGAAAAACTTAGTGGTTTGTTTTGCTGGCAGTTAGAGTAATTGTTGTTTCTCACTGGAGAAAAAAGTTGTTTTTCCTCACTATTGGATGGGCTGGATTGTCCTGTGAGGCTGGTCTGTGATGCAGGTGGTGTGTGATGCACAAGCTGGGCTACACAGTGGGTCTGCCAGAAAAAGTGTGTTCTCTGAAGAACTATTCCAGGCATGACCCATTCGTTCCTGGCCTTGTACCATCAGCAACTTAGGACATTTCTGTACCAGTCTCTATGATGGGAAGACTGAGGGCAAATTTCTGGTGAACATTTTATGCTCATAGCTACCAATAGGCAGCAGTGAAGTGCTGGTGTTAGAGACAGCATGAGAAACCTTTTTCAATGTCAGTGGCTTGGTTTGTCCAAGAGAGAGGGTTTGGTGAAAAATGAAGCCACAGATCTGTTCAAGAGGTGGATATCCCTATGCATCTGGCAAAAGTGTTATGCCAGTTGTACTATATGGACAATTTTGTGTTTCTTGGTTAGGCCCAGCTGCCTCCACTGTGGACTAGTGTACTTGGTGCTAAAGGATCTACAGTGACAGTGGTGATCATTCCATCTATTTTGAACCTTTTTGTGTGATAGAAAAACTAAATTCTTGTTGCATGTTCTTATGTTTCTGCATCAGTTACAGTATACATCTTAATTTAGAAACTCAGTAGTGAAGAGGCATTGGCTTTTAACACAACTCCCTGCAGAACTGCAATGCTGCGATGAAACAACGGGTAGCATTTATTCTACACTACAGTGTTTCTACTCAGCAAAGTATCAGAATATCCTTGTTAAGGGTAATGTCATGTTTAGGAGTTTGAGTAATGTTCCCACATAAAAACATGCATTAACAATCAGTTATCTTACAAGTGGAGAATAAAGTAGATATCCATTAGTATATTAACTCCTTGGCGGTAATAACAAATAATTATTCATTATTGCAGTGTCTTCTTGACATTTCTGGTGCTGGAATTTTTAGGACTACAAAATGTTCTCAGATATATTAGAAATCTATTGATGGATGTTCAGTTGGTATCAAGCTTTTAGAGCAAGCTGCTCTTCTGGATTGCTGCCTAGTTAATCGGTGATTAATGAATGCTTCCATTTTGTATATGAATTTGGAAGCCTGTGTTCTTGGCATTGTTGAAGTATGTAAATGTCTTTCTGAGATAAAACATGACAGACAACACCTAAAACACAAGTGCTTTGTTCTGCTACCTGTCAGATCAAGGGAAAGGTCTGGATTCTTAAAGCTATGAATTTAACTGGGAGAGGAGATGAGCTGGCAAATACTCTGTACTCAGTTCTTTCTGTGACATCCTCTCAAGTCATTTTGCATACTGAAGGGCAAAACCAGGAGATGAAATATATTGATGTCCTTAAATATAAGGTATTTGTAAATAAATGCCTGCAAACTGTTTAAAGTAAACAATTTTAAAGAGCAAATGCAACTTAAAAAAAAAAAAAAAGGTAAATGACCTTATCAGGTGTCTGGCAGCAGGTCTGGCTGGATGTCTGAAACTTCAGAAGAAAGTATTGGCTTAAAAAATCCAATTACCGTGACTGGGTGAAATCCTGAGTGGTGATAAATCCTGGAAAGGTCCTTTGAAATTAATGGGAATTGTGGGAACTTAACAATTCCTAGAATTTGATCAAGCGTCCATAGGAATGGCCTCTTTTAACTGTTGGTAATTAAAAGGTTATTCTTGTAATGGAACAGCAAACTGTGCTATCTGTACTGCTGCAATCATTACCTTGCAATTAATTCTTCTTTAGGGCTTTCAGAAGTAGCTCTGGAAGCTGACAGCTGCAGCCTACAACATATCAAGTGCTTTAGGTAGCTGCTTTAATGAAAACTCAGATGAGTGTAGGGTCAGCCTCTCCACAGTCCGTTCTGATTAGATTTCCACTTTCCTTTAGAAACAGATCACATCTGGCCCAAAGACAGAAGCCCATTGTGCCAGACGTGTAATAGAATAGGTGTTGTTTTGTACTTCTCATCTCTGAAAGATAATGACATGGAAAATTCATTCTCTGCTGCTCTTTAGTAATCTCCCATCTGTTATTGTGTTTGTGTGTGCAACTGGATGCAAAAACTAATCACAGACCTCTGCTTTTAAAAGAGTTTTTTTGTTAGCTCCTGTGTCAACATTAGCTGACGCAGGCAAGGTTGTTGAAGCAGAAATGTTGCAAAGCGGTGTGGAACGTCGCTCAGCTGTATGTGCGAGACTGGATTATTAACAGCACAACTTCCGTGTAAAGCAGTGGCTACAAATTTCCAGGACAGTTTCATAGTTTTTTGTCCACTTTATTATGCTCTAGGTGAGGCCTCTAGTTTCTTGGAAGGCTGTCTTTACACCTGGAGCAGAATGACAATGTTTCTATCTTGTGGAGTTTAATCTGAACTCAAGGAAGAATTTGGCCTGGTGGATTTCTAATATTCCTTTCTGAGATGAGCAATTTAGAAACAGAATTTTTGTCACTTGTGGACTAGCACATGTTCTAACCCACAAAAGAACAAAACCTGCTTTCCTAACTTTGAAGCAGGGGGTAGAAGCATGGAAATGTTTTCAGAGGTGGTATCACAGTTCTGCTGGTGGATCCTGGCAAACCAGAGCAAAAACCAAGTGTGCACCAGACTTTTCACTTACTAACATGCTCATGGCCAGACATCAGTACGTGGGGGTGAAGGGAACAAACCTGTGTAAAGCCTTGACTCCTTTAAAGGGCCCAGAATTTCAGAAGGACAGAATTTCACCGTAATATTTTCAAAGAGATGGGAATTGCTGCAAGGGGAAATGGCAGCTGTGAGGAAACAGCCAATGCTTGTGTTCTGTTTTGTGAAAAATGTGCCTGATGCTATTACTCATTTACTTTTGCATTGTATCTCAACAGGACCTCTTGAGCTGTTGATCAAAAAGGCAAATCTAAGTGAACTTCCAAGAATCATCTTAAAATGAGCAGTGTCACCATGAAGGTACAACAGCCACACCATGATGGGATATTTGCTGGTACGCAGTGAAGAACATAAAATCTCTACAAGAGCAGCCTGAAGTGCAGCGCTGAGCTGATGGACAAGCACATGGAGAGAATAAATCACAAACTGTTCTTCAGGAGAAGAAAAGTTAATGTAACTCTTTGCTTGTCTCTTCTGACCTAGGGACCTTAAGGTGCTGTATGCTGAGCAGTTAATAAATATTGTCTTTTCTGTCCTATGTCACTGTAAAATGTCTCCTGTTGCATGTGAATCATGAGAAGGCTAATGCTCAGTGGAGATCCACCCCCCAAGGGGAAAAAAGCCAAAGTGAGAAACAGGATGTATGGAAGGAATCCAGTCAGAATGACCAACAAAACTTTTGCAAAAAATAAAACGAGTGATGGTAGGTTGCTTTAACCTGAGGGGGGTCAGATTGCTGCGTTGTAGTGCTCTTTGAGGCAGCCAGTTGTGGAAGCTGTAACAACAAAATACTAGTTTAAAGAGTTTTGTGAACAACTGATGCTTTGGAAGGCAGCGATTCTTTCCCCCCTCCCCCCCTTTTATTTTGGGTAAACATACTCCAGGAAGCCTAATTGAAGCATGTGAATATTTCCATTGAAAGTAATAAGATTAATCATGCTGGGACCCAACAACTTTGTTAAGTATCTTCCTAAACAGTGACTCCAGAATCTCAAACATTTTCTTGGGCTTCCTTAGGGCCCTTTTGTTTTGCTGTAGTACCTCCAATGGAAAAATTATGCACAGTAAATTACTGAGCTGATAAATCCTGTTTCTTTCCATGAATGCTGTCCATAAATCCCCTAAACATCAAAACTTTGTTAGCCTTTTCAATTTTATTCTTCAGTACAGCCATCTCCTCTATTATTTCATCCATATTTTTGAATAGATTTCAAAGCTTATGAGTGTTTTATAGCTAAATCAGTAGATATTTATAGGTAACAGTAAAAAACAGTGTAAAATATAAATGCATATCGGAATACAGAAGATATAAGTAAATTAAATATGTTCCTATCTGCTAGGTGGGAAGGTGAGTAAAACCTTTACTCATGTGATACAAAGTTTTATTTTGTGTATCTTTGATCCTAGAATATATGGGATGTAATTTAAGGTATCAACATGGATAGTTTGTATCCTTTGGTGGAAGACACTTCCTACCTTTTTTCATCCATGACCTGTGTGCATAATTGAGAAGATTGTTCATTCTGCAAAGAACTGCCTCGTTGGAGAAATGGCACAAAATCAGTTGTGTTGATGTGAAACACATGTATTCCAGATGCAGGTAACAGAAAAAGCCATCAGGTTTTGTGGGAGCTGGTTAGTTTGCTTGTAGCCATCCTATTTCAAATCTCAGTTCTGTTTTTGTGAGCATATTCAGGGCATCTTTATTCTAACTTTGTCCCATGTGCTTTGATACGTTTCCTGATCTTAAATTCATGTTCTTTTCATTTGTGCTGTACTGGCCATTTAAGCAAGGGAACACTGTATGTGCACATAAAGAATTCAGAGTTCAGGGCCTTGGTGAAAGCTTTTAAACACTGAAGTCCTTGGGGTGTGTGGTCTCCTTTGTATGGACACCTTCCTATTAGCCATAATGGCAATGGTGTCCATGAATACTGTATCTCCATTAGATTTTAGGCAGACATAAAGCACAGCTTTTGGTCCTTGCATATCTGCTGGATTATCAAAAGCAAATATACAGATGCTAAAATGAAAGTCCCAGGTTTTAGAGGACCAGTGAAGTGCACCAACTTAACCCTGTCTTTGAAGCCACACGGTGAGGTGTGAACATTTCTAGGCAGCATTCCTGACCTGGTGACTTGTGGGTCCAAAATGGGGGTAAGAAAAGGGCATAAGGTGCCACATGTGAAAAGATGTCCCTCTGTTTCTGCCAACTTTTATACACAGATACTTTCTGTTAAAAAATAACCCATTAGTAAAGAGATAGACTTTTAAACAGGTAGTTGACCTGAAAACTGTGCAAACTGTGCCTGGGATGTACAATGTATATGCTTTTTAGATTAAATTTGGGTTTAAGTGAAAGAAAAGCTGGTAGCCAGTTTGGAATTTGCATTTTTGGCAGCTTTACACAAGAGTTCCAGTTTGTGGTCTGGGCTGAGCTCTCCAGAGGAGACAGCTGAAGACAGAGTCACAGTCTGTGATTCATTTCATTTCATGACATTCTTTTAGACACATGAAAAATTTTCTGATGGCTGTTGTGCTTCGGTGTTTATGAACCTCACAGTGAGCAGCATAAATAAGGAAGCAACTGCCCATATTAAGCACAGGATCTAAGTGGCTCACAAGCAATGGATGAGCAATTAATTTTGAGCCAGAAATGGTTATGGTATAGGAGAGAAAGAATACAATTTGCAGCAAAGGTTTTAATGCAATCCTGAGAATATTAAATAGAAGTTTTGTTTTATTTGGCACTTTCAGAGGTCTCCCAGTGGAAGTCTAATGTTCACAATTCAGCAAGGTTGTTGATCACAAGTGAGAAGAGCCAGTGGAATAATTAAAGCATAGGAAAAAATGTTATTAAAGAGGAAGAGTTCCAGGAGCTCAATCTACTTAATCTATCGAATTTAAGGTGAAAGGATGGTTTCAGCAGTCATTATATGAGAAATATAATTTATATGTTCTCATAATATATGACAAATACAGTTTTCCTATGGAGGGCTTTCTGAAATCTGTCAGATGAAAATAAAGTGAGTTCTGATGTTTGAAATTGATAAATTAAGAGCCAGAGGATTCAATACTTTTGTTAACAATTGGACCCCCATTTGCCAGGGAAGCCATGGATTATGTCTCACTGGACACATCTTAAATCAAGAATAGATATTGCTTCATAAAATGTGAATTTCTGGAATGAGTTGTGCCTTTAACTGTCTCTCTCCTGGCTCTTTCAGTTTTGTGTTACTCTTGACAAGCAAGTATGTGTTACAGGTTGGTTACAATGGTTTTACATGTGGACTAATGGCCTTTAATGCATGCTTCTTTTTCCCTTATGAACTACTAAGATAGGTCCTACTAAAAGTGTATTTATAGAAAAAAAAATCTAAAACATTCCCTTTCCCTACTTTGGAGCCAAAACACAATTGCACCCAGTTATCTGTATTCATGGAAGGTTATGTGCCAGGTCTGACAATGTTAATTTAAAGTGGGTTAAACTTTTGCACATTGTTTACAAATTGGGTTCTATAAAACATCCTGACTACCTGGAAATGACAGTGATTGATGGGAAGTAACACACACACAATTAATACTGACTGAATTGCTAATTACAGGATTGACATCTCATTTGGAATGAGATGCTGCAGGTCTTTTGCAAAAAGAACTGACAGTGTTGTCATGTTACTTCTCCATTTCCTTCAGCTTGTAGTCTGATGCCCTGTAGTTAAAGTTCAACTCAAGATTCATTCTTGTCTTGTAAAATTCTCCTGCAATGTGAGAAAGGCCTTAGGAGGAAAAGTGAAGTGGTCACCACTCCCCAAGAATTAACTCTCTCCTGAGACTTTTTCCTATCAAAGAAGATAAATTGTGCTACACTTTTCCTACTTGTTTTATTAGTTACACCAGCTTTCTTACCCTTTCTGCTTTGTTTCCCTGGCATGCAGAAAAAAGTAAATAGTGCTGATGCAGAGGAAGACTGTGCAAGACTCCGACTTGAAAAGAAGGTACACTTGAAATGGTACATATTATTAAGGAAACCCTTGTATCTGGAAAAAGTAATTTCAGAAGCTATGTTATGGAGTTGCCCTTAAAACAGTAGTTACATGTACTAAATGCTGAGGTTTGTGGAAATGGGCTGGCCAGATGCAATCACACAGATTTAGCACAGCCCAGCACCTGCTGTCTTGGCCTGGCCACGTGGATACAAAGATCAGTGCAGATACTTGATGACCACAGCAAGATTATCTGTTACAAGGTAAGATTTGAAAGGATTTAAAAATAAATGCTGTGATCTGGCATGTGTTGATGGGTGATGGAGGTAGAGAAAAGGAAGCAGAGAGTGGCAGCACCAACACTGACAATGGAACCAGAAGCTGCAGGGTATAAAAAAGCGGTTCTATGGGGTGTTCCCAATGCTGCAGAATTGCCACAACTTCTTCACCACCTTAAAGAATAGGGAAGCCAGTGGGATGTATCCCCAGCAGTCCCGTGGGTTTTGCCTCAGGCTTTCTCAGAAACAGAGACCCTCTTTTGTGTAAGAAAAGAGTCTTGCGGCTCAGGTGATTTCAGAGGGACAGTGCACACTCTTTGATATGATTCCACCCTTCATCTGTTAGCATAATTAATTTACAGGAGTGATGTATGAAATGTGCTCCCTATGGCCTATGGAGAGGATTAAAAAGGGGCTCAGTCAAATCCGGCCGAGTCCAGAAATATCCACAAGTCTGAAATATGAGGAGACTCAAGTAGTAGTGCAGGGGAGGCTGAGCTCTGCATGGACGTCCTGGGGCAGAAATATTTCTTTACCTCTGGGAAGAACACATGTGCAGAGAAAACCTCTGCATTCCCCCAAGCATTCTGCACATCTGCCTTGCTTGCAAGGAAGACGATTCAAGGATGGCTTTTAACCACAAGACCTGCAAAATGAAAACAGTATTTTTTTTTTTCAAGAGACAGAAAGAAGCCACTGCGTTATTTGCATGGCTTATCTGAGACATTTAGTTTCAATGAGAGCTGCACATGCACACAACCCAGTGGAAGAGACTTAAAGATATGCTTTCTTTTGGCATTTTTTTGGGGGGTGGTTGTAGCATTGCAGATAATCTTGCAGGAAGATAGTCTTGGCTTGGGCTGCATCCTCCACATGGCTCATTAGTGAGGTGGGATGAATGAGTGGGCTCACAAGTAGGTAAAAAACTCCAGCTCTTTAATCTTGAGGTTTTATAATTGTGGGAATAGAGTCAGAAGTTGTTTGCAAGTTTCCTTCTGCCTTACTGAGGACTGGTGAGAACAGTGGGGGACAGAAATGTTGTCTTGTAAGTAATTATTCAAACAGTGGGTGATGTGCTTACAGCTTATCACCCTATCTGCACTATTTGCTTACAAAATCAATCCCAAATGGAACTGGGTTTTATACAGGAAGCACATATGGTGTCAGACTCCCACGGCATATAACCTTTTCCCTTTCAAGTTCAGTGGTGACAGGAATGGAAAAGAAGAATTTTGGTTTCTTAGAAGCTGTTTCACGACTTCCTCTGAAAGAATTTTAGGAACTCCAAAGTCTTTTGAGATAGAAAAGTAACTGATAATATTTTTAAGTTTTGAAATAAGAACAGTGTCTAACAGTTGTTATTCTTTACTGGTCTTCCTAACAAAATATGATATGACAGGAATGCTAAGTGCCTTCATCTTAGCAAATGGACTTCTAATTCCTTCTTCAAAGGTATCTGATTTACTCATTTTGACACCTAAAATGTGAAAATAACTAGTAGGATACATATCCATATCATTAAAAGAATTGTCCTTAATATCCAGGATCTACCAGAAGGAGAATATGCCCTGTATCCATCAGTTCTTTTACTGTTCTTATTTATAGCATAAGGAATAGAAATACCATGGTGTTCAGTCAATTTTCTAGATTAAAATTTGCTTACATATCTGACACAAATAATAGGGATTTACTAATGATAGAGGAAGAAATACAACACACAGAGACTCAGAAGGGGTTTTGATTAATGTTCTGCTTACTCAACCTCCTGTCCAGTCTTTCCCCAGATGAAGTCCAATGGAATATGGTTTTAAGATCAGAGACAGGAGGATAAGGTACTTATGTTTGCTGACTAAGTCCATAGATAATTTTAATGGGATAGACTGACATGTTCTAGCCACAGTAGAGCACAGAACCTCTACTTTCCAGGCATTAATGTGGCTGAACTCACAAAAGCCACCCAGGCCTGTCAGAGAAATCAGCACTTTTCTAGTTCACACTTACACAACCAGCAGCATGTCATTCTTTTAATCCCTTTAGGGGGATGAATATTTTATGGCAGATTAGCTAACATGACATACCTAATAAGTTACTAGAAAATGAAGTGTGTGGTTAACATTATTTATGCTAAGCATAGTATGGGTTTATGATAACAAAAGTGCCTGATGGGGTTGTTCCACTGCAAGGAAAGTTACTGTAAGGCCAGAATTGGTGGATGGAGGTGCAAGAGTTGATGTGTAACTGATTGTTTGACCTGAAAACAAGCACATTTCCATCCTGTAGAAGTGGAATGTTTTTCTGCTATGGCCAGCAAACACAGAATGATAAAGTTTTCCTGGCACAGGCAGTTTATTATGGTGATAAAAGGAACATGAGACTAACAGTAATAACAAAAAAAACAAATTTCTCATGGAAAATTGTAGGTGACTTGTAAGTAGCAAATGTGTGAATGATCTTTCTTCTGGTTATTTTTGCAAAGTACTTACATGCGTTACGTGTATGCATTAGATTATTAATCTATGCATTACACATTGTCTTTATAGGCTTGATTTTCCCAAGAGTCATGTGAAAACACCTGTGATTTTTAATTGATTTAATTAATGAGTAAACTGGATGAAGCTGAATGTAAGTTTGTGTTTGGAAGAGGAGACGAAGTGCTGAAGCAAGAGAACCAGTAGTTTTCTCTACTGGGAGAAGGGAAGAGCCTGTTTCCTGCTACAAAGCTCATGTTTGAGGAGAACAGAGGACACAAGTAGTTTTTACCTGAAAATGTGCTGATATGTGAGTATATGCAGGTGGACAGAAACCTCATATTTTCATTCAGGTGAGCTTAATAAACCACTGTGCCACTGATGCCAGTTGAGTAGTGGTAGTAACGAGCTTGTCTTGAAATTAGATTGATAACTCCAGAGAACTTGGTGATTATTTTGTACACTAATATTTGAAATATGCAGTATATTGAATTTATATTTGGTATAGAGTGCAATTGTAATGTGCTGATGTGTAGAGATTGTATCCCAACAAAAGGTGGACTTGAGTCTTCATTTATTAATTATTAATTAATAAATCAACTCACTCTTCAATCCTGACTCACTTTTTGGGTGAAGCAGGCATTCCAAGTCATCCAATTTAAATGGGATTAATACTGGAATTAGAGTTCAGATCTTTCAGTGCTATCCTGTCTCTATGTTACCTCCTTATAGTTTTTCTTGTGAATATAGAAGATCTAATTTAGGTCTGTGTACCTAATTACTGGCACTGTGCACTTTGGGATGCAGGGCCATAAAAGGTGACGAGGCACCTTGTGCACACATCTCATGGAACGTGTCATATGTGCTCACAGAAAGACAGGACATGTAAAGCAGGGGTGATGTACAGGGAACCAGGACGTGATAGAACTTTGCTGTTTGGCATTGTGTTGGATCACAAAGCTGCTTGAAATACATGCTGTTCTTCACTTTTTTTAGTAGAAAGAATTGCCTCTGAGAATCACACTCCTCCTTTCTTTGCTCATTCAATTTAAGACCTAATTGTGAAGAAAGGCTATGAGCTGGGTTATCAACTGGTAAATCAAATCTGTTCACATCCAATAAGGAACCTACATATTTTATGGAAATTAAAAATGTATTATGAAATGTAAATTATTACATTATTCAAAATTAGTGAATAGAGCACATAATTACTTATTACTAATATTGAAATATAGTTACAATATTTAGTTAATGATTTGGTCACATACAGCTTCTAAAATGATAATTCTGATTAGATTCAGGAAAAAGCAGACTTTCCTGTACCTCAGAGAACATACAGAAGTTTCCAAATCTTTAGAAGTTACTGAACAAATAACTGGTAGGATGACAAAGGGGGCTGCTGTGTACCATCTCCAGTACATTCCTCTCTGGAATCAGGATTAGGGGCCAGGATACAAGAATGATAGGGAAACAGTTCCTATGACTTGCAGGTAAATAAAGCCTTAGGTTCCAGCTTCAAAATTCTGTGCATTAAACTAACTTTCTTCACATCAGAAGGATGGAGTGTTGAGATCAATATGCCAAAGAAAAATGAACACACTGGTGAACAGATTCATTCCTGAAAATAATTTCTTTATTCACACCATGTAGTAGAAGAAAAATGAGAGACACCACACTTTGTCAAGCAGTATTAAAATACGTATTCATCTAGCTGAGAGTTTTAGGGATGCAATTTTTAAATAGTTATTTCAGTATTTTATCATTTTACCACTGGCTGCTTTGATTTGCCTAACAGGTTTGTGCTTTATATGGTTCTCTTTTAACAGGTTTTCACTGTATAGCTTTGATCTGAAATAACTGGGACAGAGGAGAGTTTTTAGCAGTTCTTTCTTACATGGTAAATGGCATTTCTTTACAGATATCACATTCATAGATATATTAAGAAACCACTTCTATTTGGTGTAGTCGCATAACAGATGTGGAAGTTCAAGTATTCAAACTCTATAAATTATGTAGATATGAGGACCAAAGTTTTTTTTCTGTTTCCTGAGAATGTCTGTTTTGGATAGGAATGGCAAATGAGCCAAGGCAGCTTACAGGAAAATGTACTTAGCTGTGTGCTGTGTGTGGTTAAGTATATCCAGCCCTATAGTACTTCAGGCCTCTGTTTGATTCCCATTGTCCTCAGTGAGCCAAAAATACATTATTCAGTGTTTTGCTGAACTGGGCCCAGCTTCAATGAAGTGCTTTGACTCCAAGTGTAGTTTATAACTTAGTGTTGATCCCACAAGAAGTAGGAGGCTAGATATGTTTTGAATCTAAGCTATAATACATTTGATTATGAAAGCGTTTCAGAGACCTCTTTCTAGTAAAGTCAAAAGGAACACGAGATATTCCCAGTAAAATGAAAGTAGGTCTTAAAGAACCCAGTACCATTTCTTGTTTATAAACAGAAGACTGAGAACATTTCAAAGTTTGAAAACTAATTCTAAGGGCAGAAAGTAAGTATTTCCATTTTCTCTTTCCTAAAGCGCTCGTTCATCTATAGAGCAAAATTGCTGTGGGAGCAGAAAGAAACACTGGTTGAGTATAAAAGCAAATACCTTTGCAACCCTGTAAACAGATTTTTTAGAAATGGAGAAGCAGTCAGAGTGTACTTTCTCTAACAATTCCCAGTTTGATGCTTAGCTAGGCCATTTCACTCTATTTAAAGAGTCATGATTAAAATAATATCTAGAAAGGACTGAAGAGTAGAATCTTTCCTGAGGGAAATGCAATTTCAACATTGCTTTCAGCCCAAACTAACGAAAAAGTCCAAATATCAAAATGTTTTGCTGAATTGAAAGGCTCAGAAACATCTCAAATTCACAGTAAAGGAATAAAAACCTCTAATTTGAAATTTTTTTACTCTCTAAGTTAGTATCTGCATAGGCCTGAATGGGAACTTCAGTTTTGAGTGTTAAGACTCTTTACTTCTAGAGTTTCACCTCACCTGGGGGTTTACTTTGAGGGAGCCAGGTCAGGGAGCCAGCATGCCCAGAGCAGAAGGGATGACCTGGGACACAGTGAGAAGGGATAGGGAATGGGATTAGCACAGGCACGTCCTCAGCTGGTGCTGAGAGTGGGCACACAGGTCCACATGGAGAGCAGGTACAAAGGATTTCCTGTTAACAAACCTTTAAAAACCCCATAGTCTGTCACCTCTGCCTTGTGCTGCCTCCTGCCTGCCCTCAATTATTGGGAGCTGGAGGTAGGCTGTGGTTCCAAATACATTTGCTGCAAAAAGCCATAATCCTAAAATCTTCTTTGGTGTGAAGGAAGAGATGTCTGTGAGAGTCCCCAGAGGGGGTGGCAGCATTCCCTCCCTGAGCCCTGGGGCCAGCAGCCCACTCTGCTGTGAGCTGTGCCTTCTGCAGCCAGCCTGGGTCGGAAGAGTTACACTCTGTACCCTCCAGCCCCACCTCATGTTTTATTTCAGAAAGACCAATTCCTTTGATAATCACAGCCCTTTTTTAAAGACATCTTTATACAGCAAAGGCTACTAATCAACCTGCATTCCTCTTTTGCAACATACCTTGTGGCTGTAATTGCATGTATGTGGTAGATTGGTTACTTGTCGATTTATTGTGATTAATGCTATTGGAACTACATATACGAAATACAGAAATTCTGCTTGTTCTATATGTGGAGCTAAGGTAATGTCTCTGTGGAGTGACATACTGGTGTCCTGGATGTAACCTGCTGCCGTGCTGGGGCTCAGGCTTAAGGTGTGAGCATTCAGAGTGATCTGCACTAGAATAGTCTCTGAAGAGGAGGGGCAGTCTGAAGCCAAGATGTCTCTAGAAATGTCTGTGACAGTGAGAAAAGAGAGGACTTTTTTTTTATTATTATTAACAAAGAACTAGAGCAGTAACTCATTTTTCTGTAACTATTGCAGGGTTGTCCTCTACAGAGTTGCTGAGAATACGATTTCTATTCTGGAATAAATATATGATTTTAACCTCAAGTTTGAAATGTTGTTTGAAGCTGTATCAGTTTTGTCTGCAGTGTTAAAGCAGAATAAAGATAGCAGAATCGTGTTTTGCCAAAGCTGTGCAGGGTGACGGTCTCCCTGCAGAGAGAAATCTTCCTCTCCAACAATGGTAGTTCCTTTTGACCTGCTTAACAAAGGATGATGAAAAGCTGCAGAAACAATTGTGTTTACAGCTTCTTGGTTGCATAATGATTTATTGCTTGCTAGGGATTTTATGGACATTGGGAAAAAGGTTGATGATGAAAATAGGAGATGCTGGAGGGTTGTGCTTTTCACTCCTTTGCAAAGAAAAATGTGTATTTTGTAGCATTTCATGTTGTATTGCTTGTTTCTCTAGTCAATTTGTTTTTGTAGCAATGCAAAGTGTTCAGTTGTTACCTGCATAACTGTAAAATGTGTTATTTCACATGGTTCTGTAAAGGAAATTGTAAGGTTTATAGGTACAGCCCCTAACAATTCACTGTCCACTGTAATGGAAATAAACCTATAGTTGAGTGTATTTATGTATCTCCACCCTTCTCCCAGCCTGTAAACTGAGGGTGAGTTAGTGCTGGCATTCTGCAGCACTTTGTTTTTTCACTACATCAGAAACGGGGAAGAGGCTTCTTACAGAGAGGTTGGAAGCTGGAAGCTCTCATGCCAACAGTGTGGCTTCAGGAAGTAGGCAGGAGTTCGCTGCAGTAGGGCATTCTGATCACAAATCAGGCTACTGCTTTTGCTTTAGCATTCAGATGTTTTCAAGTTGTAGCCCAGAGAGGTGCCCAGTGATGCAGACTTGAGGCAAAGGCACAAGTGAAGCTGGAGCCCTGTTGAACTCAGCAGGAATTTCTATCATGGGTTTTGTAGAAGGCTCTCACAGCGAACCTGAGCCCTGCTGTACTGTCTTGGGGTTATTTCTTCTTCAGCAGTGACACTAGTTTTGGAGGAAAATAACTATTTTTATGGGGACTTTTATTAAAAGGCAAATAGTTGCTATATTTATGTTTATATTTATATATATATATTTATGTTTCAAGGCCTTGTGCTGACCTTTCTTTAGCCTGCATCAAACAACGTTTTGATGCAATCACATACAAGCATTCCTGCACAGAGTCACTCTGCTGTTTTTTCACTGGTTTTCAAGTTACCTTAATGCTAGTTGCTGACAAGTGACTTTTCTAGCTTGGTTTAAAGGTATGTTTATATGTCTTCAAAGATGCTGGGTCTCTGATGATGTCAGCCTCAATCCACATGTGCAGATCAGCTATCTATCTGCTTTTATGTGAACTACTATATGTCTATATTGAGGCACGGTTTAGTCACTAGAATTTACTCTGCATTTCTCCTCTTTATGGTGCTGTACAATTAGTTCTAGAATGTTTGATCTGCTCCCTTAAGCAGGTCACTGCAGAAATAAATAGGGGTCACTGTGGTGTTTACAGAGTTTGCTAATGCGGTGTGTGCAAGAACAGGCGTGGTTTTTGACTGACTCAACTCTGACTGTTGAATCTGTTGTTCATACACCCCTTCCCTCAGAGCAGATAGAGGTTCATTACAGTAATGTGCTCATGCATCCAGAGCTACAGCGGCTTTTGAGAAGAAGTTTGTTTTAATTAAGAGCTTTTGTTTCCAAAATATGTGGTAAGTTATTAGCATATAAAGTAGACCTCATGAATAAAATGCAGTATGGATTTTCTAGGTGTTCCCTGGTAATTACCTACATGCCTGGCTTCACCTCATAGTTAATGTGATGTTTCTTACCATGGAACAGCAGCTTGTCTGTAAATAACCAGCTGAGGTGCTGTACATTCAGATACTTGCTCAGCTGCTGATAACTTTTTCCAGGTGATTGTATCCTTACTGAATTATGCAATTGTGGCCATACTGAATCTAATCTAATCCATTCATTTATTTGAATTATTTAATTTTTATTCTAGTTCTTCTTGGTATGTGCTTTGTAGTAATAAGTGCATTTAAGAAAACAAGCACTTTTTTTGAAAAATTTGGAGCTGAAATGTTCTCTTTCAAGACCATTCTATAATTCCCCAAGACCACCTGTGCTACTTCTGGGTAATCTGTTTAGTTCTGTAGAATGTTCTTTCTGTATTACAGTAGGTTCTGCAGATTCTGCTCAAACATTGTTTTCATATAATTGGATTCAACAAAAATGTTTGTGATGGACAGTGTATATTTTTCAGCACAAATAACTACTGAAAAGAAGCCATTCATAAAAAGCAAAACCCAAACAAACCCCCCCAAGCCTCAGATCTTAGCTTTGAGTAGTTAATACTTAGAATGTGTAAGAAAGTGTCACATCAGTGTTACAAATTTGGGACTCATATCTCAGTTGAATTTGACTTAGCTTCAGTTATTGATTGATATATTTTTCTTTGATTATTATTATATTTTTTTTTAATTAAGAACCAAAACATCTCCTCCTCAAGGCACTGTAACAAACGAATTCAGAGGAGGTTGCTCAGGGCTTTTTTCAGTCTGGATCTGAAAACCTCAAAGGGAAAGTATTCCACAGGCTCTCTGGGCAATGTGTTCCACTGTTTGACTATCTGCTAGCTAAATGTTTTTCCATGTGTCAGGTCATGACCATTTTCTCTCACCTTCCTGCCATGCACCTCAGTTAAACCTGCCTCTGTCTTCTTGATCACCTACTCTTAGGTATTGGAATAGGGAAAACTACTTGAATAGGGAATATAATCTTCAGTAACAAGCTCATAGTGATGAAATCCCATTTTGTTTTGCTGCAGCAGGAATGACTTGAAAGAAAATATGTTAAAGAACCCCAGGATACAGATTTGGAAGGCTGGTGGGTCAAAAATGCTAGCCTTTATCTGGGGTTATGTCAACAGGGAACTGTCCTAGAGGCCCAGACAAGAATCCCAGGAGCAGCTGCTGTATGCTGACTGTGCAGGAGTCACACAGAGACA